ATCATAGTGTGTATTTTCAAAATGTAACGGGGGTGTATTTACAAAGTGTATCGCAATGTATATCTAAAAAATGTAGCACAGTGCGTATCTAAAAAGTGTATCACAATGTATATCTAAAAATTGTAGCATAATGCGTATCTAAAAAGTGTATCACAATGTATATCTAAAAATTGTAGCACACTGCGTATATAAAAAATGTATCACAGTGTATATCTAAAAATTGTAGCACAGTGTGTATCTAAAAAGGATATCATAATGTTTATTTATGCCGAAGTGAAGATGAGAGAGAGAGAGAGAGAGAGAGAGAGAGAGAGAAGAAATGACAATTTTAAAATACCCAAAATGCCATTTGTTTAAAATTTTAAATCAAAATTATTAATTTTCTAATTTAACCTTTAATTTATGGTTGATATTTGATTTCACAGTTATTACAAAATGACCCTCAATGGGGGTTCAAATAAAACCGACAAATATCATGAGAAAGTAAGAAAAAGGTTAAAGAAAAGTTTTTATGTGGATCATTGAAAAAATCTGTTTTAAAATGCATATGTGAACCTATATGAATAATTTGTAATGTTAGTTTACATATATATATATATATATATATATATATAGACTTAGGATCATGTGAGACCAATGGTTTTTATGAGACCCGTAAGATCAATTCTCAACCCTTATATTAGATTTACAATCGTCAGATCTGAACATTTATAAATGCCACGAGACTTCTCAATAATTACAAAATTGTCACCTTGCAAATTTAGACCATTACATCATTAGTTTATAAATTTGATCAATGAACATAAATTGGTCTTACGGGTCTCACGAAAAACCTTGGTCTCACATGAACCCAACCCTATATATATATATATATATATATATATATATATCTTCAAATATTTTTTTTTTCCTAGATTTATTCAATAATTTTAGATATAAACCTTTATTTCTTAACTTCTCAAGATATTTTTATCTGAATCTCATATTTTATAAAAAGCGTAAATATTTGGATTTTAGGATGTTATTTAAAATTAAAATAATTTCCTTTTAAAATTTTTAATGTTATAATTACGTATTTACTTATCATTAATGTTATGATCGAATAAATAATATTAATGCCAGAATGTATTTTTAACAAAACTCACAGTTTATTCCATTAGCTATACATGACCGTTTGATAGTGACTTAATAATACAAAAAATTGGTTTAATGATATAAAAAGTGACTTGTTCAATAAACTTCTAGAGGTGAGCTTTAAGCTGAAAATCAAGTTCTTTCCAAGCCTACATCTCCCATTTAAAAAAAATAAACACTCATTCCATCTATGAAAAACACACATCCTTAACAGACAGATTAACAAAGACAACTTTATACATACATAACTTAATGGAATGAACCACAAGGGTGGTGCATGATTGGTTTGAGCTTGGCTCCAAAGATCAAAAGTACCAGGAGGTCCCAGGTTCAAATCCAACGAGGAATAAAAATCCCCTCGTGGCCACGGAGGTTCAAAGTAGGTGGTCGTCCTGGGATTAGTCGGCTCGCATAGCGGGTTGGATATCCAGGTTAATAATAAAAAAAAAAACTTAATGGAATGTCAACCAAACAACCCCTAATGAAATAAGCATTTTGCATTAAGGGGAATAACAACATGGTTCACTGAATATTCCACGTGCATAACCCTAACTGCATCCAATTATCTCGGTTTACAGACTCTTAGACTTCAAACAAGATCCTGGACCAACTTTTTAGACCGAGTTAAACCAGATAGTCGAGTTTATGCACAACTCTGTCTCGTACACTGATTGAAAATTACGAATTTGCCCCTATGGATTAAAAGAATTCCAATAAGATTTGTGGAAAATCAATACCAATAACAAATCAATGATGGTAACATGTGTTGACCAAAGGATGATCCATCACTTTCTACACTTCACAATCACATCTAATTGCCAAAAGGGTTTCACTTGCCCTATGCCATAAGTTCAAATTAATGGGCCCCATGAATAAGGCTTTTAACCTTGGTTTATTTTAATGTAGAAATTATTGTTTTTTTTAAATATTAAAATTATAAAAAAAAATTCATTTTAAATGTATTATTTTATTTGTTAAATAAATTAAAATAAAATATACATTATTGTGGTATCTATTTTTAGAAACTTATTTTCAGCCCCCCATTTTAAAAACATATATACATGTAATTAAGAGAATAAACAATGTTTTTTTATTAATAAATTAAGGAAAATACTGTAATTTAGGCATGACAATGAGGCGAGGAAACGAGTTTTCTAATCCCTGGTCCTGGCCCTGGTCCTTGGCGGGCCGTCCCGGTTTATTTTCTGGTCAAACCCTGGTCAAGACCTAATTTTAGAAAATAATATACACACACATATACATATATTATATAAAATATATTAATAAAATTATATACCGGGTATGGGGTGGGGCGGGGCAGGGGGTACGCTACCTAGTCTAGGCCCCAACCCCAGTTTGAGTCTACCGAGGACCCGTTTTATTAGGGAATCTTTGTCTCTGTTCGGGTCGGATGAATCGGGTTCTCCATCGGATAAGGGCAAATCACCGTCCCTATTGTGACTTTGTGAAAAGAAAAGAAAATTAATATAATATTGCAAATAGTAGATCCATTTATTTTGGTGGGATCATGGATGTAGATGGCACGTGTCATTTCAATTTTTTGAAAACCCTGTTACATCTGTTATAGCGCTATTAAATTATAAATTATCTGAAACAAGTTATAAAGAAAACAAAATATAAAAGTTTATATCATATTTAAAATCTTGCAAATTAAAACAACAAAAATATTTAAAATGACAAACTGAGAAGAATATCGAAGAGTCGCTTTTGTTTTTTATTGGCAGATTCTAAAGTTAAATAACCACTTTTGACTTTGAAAGAAACGAGATTGGTCTTCATTAAGGTTGGTTTAGACTTCAAAGGTCTATTTAAATCAGTAAAAATTTGCACTGAACTTTTAAGGGTGTTGGTCAAAAATCCATATTCAACATGTCAACAGACAGTCATGACACATAGATTTGTTCTTCATTTCAAATAATAAAACGACTGTTTTTGTAAAAACTAGGGACGGATTTATAAATTTTTTCAAATAGTGGCACCATTTAATTATAAGAAAAAACTATGGGGAATTTTTTTTCAAACGATGACACCGTTCGACTATAAGAAACAAATATACGTTTTTTTCAAATGATGGTACAATTTGACTAAGAAAATGACACTAACACGATTCGAACTTGGGTTTGAGGTGGAATAAAAGTCTTACAAACCAACTCTATTAAATAAAACTTATTCTCATTGTTGTTTCAAAATACATATGGTGACACATAACAGATTAATACGGTTGCACATTTCACGAACCTAAATTTTAGTTTAATAAGACTTGCATGTTATTCGATCAGCTATATATGAATGTCTGATTGTGATTTAATGATATAAAAATGACTTATTCAATAAACTTCTAGGGGAAGTTTTATTCAGAAAGCCAAGTTTTCCCAAACTTGCTTCTGCCAATTAAAAAACATGTTTCTTCCATATATTTAAAAAAATTTCCCAAACAAAAACCTTATCAACTCATAGAGACAGATCAATCAACACAGACAATTTATGCATACAAGACTTAATGAAAAATCAACCAAACAACACCTTTATCTAGTCTGGATCCAACCTGGTTCCATATCGTCCAACTTCTTATCTGATCCAGTCTTTATCAAATTCTATAAAAGATCGGTCCGTCCCAAAGAAGTATGAACAAATTAATGACCAGATGAATGACTTGGTCTGGTCTAGGCTGAACGGTTAGGCCCTTTTGCCTGTACAACATAATTGACCAAAATCGAATAACCGAGATAAAAATCATAGGCTAAAACCCCGGCCTTCCTTGCTAAGCCGTCGTTGCCACACCTAACAACCACCAAACTCCACCGCATAACCACCATGAGAAGAAGGGGAGATCCGAAACCCAATTAAATCAAAAACGAAAAATATTAAAAGCGGAAACAGGTGGAAGCCAAAGTGAAATCTGTGGCCGAGTGACGGAGGCCAATGAGGATGACCCAAAACCACATTATACAAAAAGGCAAATTAGATACACAACGACTCGCTAGGTGACTGCATTAAGAGTCCAGTGCCCGGGCACAGGGGAACCCAAATCCAAAAGAACTGTAACTCCCACATTGTAACTGCCAGACTTGAACCCTGCTTGTTTGTATAAGTATGCCATCCTCGAACCAACTGTGCTTCATCCTAAGAGGCAGTTATCAACGAGTCACTGGCCTAAGATATCATTAGTGACCACTTCTTGATTTTGTTTGCTCTTTCAACTTCACTATCTTAATCATTCGGATCAAATTTAAACAAATCAAACATACTAGGTATATCCCACTCGAAAACATGAATTGGAAGGGGTGAGATGTACGCAGTCCTGACCTCTACATCCAAATGGTAAATCCAGATTCGATCTAGACCGTTTAAAATTCATTAGTGTTCCCTCAAACCTCCAACTTCACGTAAACATCTCTCCTAGTCCCATACAACTATGTATGGAATTCTAGAAAGTGGGCATAACAGTCATTTACTAATTGTGGACCGCCTCTTACAAGGTCAGTAAAAGGTGAGGTTGTTTATCATACGCTTTGACTGACAAATGATGCTGACTCAGTAAGCACTCTTACCCGGTCAACACTTACCCATACCGCACCCTTACCCTTATCCAGTCAGCACTTACACAGACCGCACCCGCACCCTTACCCGGTCAGCACCTACCCAGACCACACCCTTACCCCTTCAGCACCTACCCAGACCGCACCCTTACCCCTTCAGCACCTACCCGGTACCCGGACTGCAGCCTTACCCGGTCAGCACCTACTTAATTGGTGCTGGTATACCTCCAAATATAGAAGCACAACAAAATTATACCAACCTGAATCAATCTCCCTTTGATGGCTGCAAACATCTACAACCTTAGATTTTAAGAGAAAAGTTTCTCATTATTACGATATCAAGATTGTGAGAGAGATAGGTGCTAATCAACAGTCATCTAACCCTTTCAAGTTAGGCTGATAATGATGCTACAAAAATTCCAGTCTTGTAAATGGTTTAAATCTAGATATACGAAATGTTCGTTATGATTAAAATGTTTCAAGCGTCACCTGCCTTCTTATCGAGCTCTTCTAAAGCTGCCCATAGTATTGGATCTTCGTAATCTTTAATGAGAAGTGTAGGATTTGCTGTCATTAGCACATTTTCTGGATTTCTAGTCGTTAAGCCAACAACTGGCATTCCCGCCGCCACACCAGCCTTAATCCCAGAAACCGAATCCTGAAACCCAAAAAGAGATAATAATATGAGATGAGATGACAACAATTCGAATGTTTAAGCAAAACCCCGTGTAACTATTTGTCAAATATCTAAAACATGATTCTTTTTCTGAAAGAAAATATGGTGTTGAGAGTTGTATTTCAGGCGGCAATCGTGACTCGTCCGTTGCATGGGCTTGGCCACACCCTCTCAAACGGAGGCTAGACGGTGCCGCCAAGAACGGAGGCAAAATACTGCGTCGAGTCCCTATGGGGTGCTAGACTCTGGTTTGATACCATGAAAGGATATGTGGAACCCCTTTGAATCTCTCTATAAAAGAGCCCTTAGGATGCGTTTGGTACATTGGACAAGATAAGACAAAACATAACAGAGATTACTATTCCATGTTTGGCACAATACAAAGTGGAACGGGCGTGTTCCACCACCCCATGGAACAAGGTGGAACAAACCTATGTTTTACCAATATAACGTCACATAAAACCTAATTCTCTTATAATACATTATATACGCCTCCCTCTTTACATTTTATTCTTTATTTAAATTTTATCTATTGTATTTTATGATCTTTAAACTTTCACTTTATTGTTTTCAAAATATAATTTTCATACGGATTCTATATTTTGATTAATTTATGTAATTTATTAAATATTAATAATAAAAAAATAATATAGAAAAAGTATATAATAAAAATTGGAAACTACATAAACTTTTTATTTTGGTGTCATTTTAATCGTCTTGACAAAAACTTTCTAATGATATATTTTGTTATAAAAATATTTGTTTTATTATAATTTAATAAATTACATAAATTAATCAAAATATACAAAAGATATAAACAACTCATTAGGGGTAAATTGGTCTTGTTGTCTTTTCTGTCCTGTCCGGTTATGTCTTCTCAAATGCTGACTAGTTATGTCCAGCGTGTCTAAATACCAAACGCACCCTTAGGGTTTGCGGTTGGTGAGCAGATGGGACAAGACAGGTGAGAGTGAAAGAACTGCGCAACGTTTTAGAGTTTTAATTTGACATGGGTAGTTTAGTAATTTATCAATCATGTCACATCTCCCTAATTTTACTTCCACCAATCTTGGTCCGGTCTAACATCACATCAAATGTGGAACAAAAAGTTTTTGTTCTATACTTCTCATCCTATCTCACGTACCAAAATGGGACACAAATTTTTTGTACTATCCTGCCCATTGAGTCCCACGTACCAAACGCACCCATAAAAAGAGGGGAGGTTCGTACATATATACAGATTTGATGGTATGTGTCTAGCGGTGTGTGACTTCAACATATTGCAAAGGGTTAAAACGAGAATCAATACCTCACAGATGAATGTATGGTCTTTTGACACGTTGAGAAGTTCAAGAGCCTTCAAGTAAGGATCAGGTGCCGGTTTGGGATGCTCACACTCATCACCGATGATGAGATGATGAAAGAAATCAGTTAAACCAAGAGTTGAGATCATTAGCTCCGCGTTTGGCCTCGGAGCATTAGTAACCGCAGCACGTTTCAACCCATGATCTTCAATCCATTTTGTTAATTTGTATAAACCCTTTATGGCCTCGATCTTCTCCTTCGCCAATCTGTATACAAATTAAAGGTCATATACAAACTAAATTTGTATTTACTCTTTGAGGTAGAGGTCATGCCTCAGTACATCCCAACTTTCCCAAACCCCACTTCCCCAGACTCCACCTCCCAGGGGGATACTGGGTTTGTTTTGTTTGGTTTTAATATGGCTGACAATGGGCAAGGATAACCCCGTTACCTGTTATGTTTCCACCCCGTCGAAAAGGATGTGGGTAAACTGTAAAGAAAATTTTATCTATTTATCCACTTATCTATTGCCCGTTTACTTGACATTTTAGTGGGTAGGGTATGGATAAAGTGTTTTTTGTTATCCATTTACCCGTTATCCGTTTATGTATATATAGATAGATAGATAGAGAGAGAGAGAGAGAGAGAAATAAGAGAGAGAGGGAGATTTAGGGAAAATTCCAAAAAAATGAAAAACTGAGGAACACATACTGACATACATGTAATTGAAGTTGTTTATTGGTTTTTATGCATGTGCGCATGTTATACACATATGTGCATACTGGAAAAATTGCTTATAGATCACTTGTATGCACATGTGCATACCATCGAGATGAACAGTCATCAAGGTGTTCCTCAGTTTTTCGTTTTTGTTGCGCTTTTCCCCTGAACCTGACCCTATATATATATATATATATATATATATATATATATAGGAGCGTTCAAATAAAAAACACCCAATTTGTATAAACCGTGAAAACCACATTCAACCAATCATAATTTTTCATTTTGTTCATTTTTTTGTAATTATGAGAGGTTGATTAACCATTTTTATTGTGGAGGGTGTTAATCATGGATATTATCATCTTCATTATTTTAATTTTAGAGAAATGCATGAAACAATTTCATTAAAATTTCATTAAATATTATATGAAACAATTTCATAAACATATATGAAACAAATTCATCAAAAAAAGTATTATATGAAACAATTTCATGAAAAAAATTCATAAGATTAAACAATGAAATCGACGTATGAGAGTGGTTTGTACGATTTGTACAAATGAGGGTGGTTTTCATTTGATTGCTCCTCTCTATATATATATAGACACCCATAATCATATATAAAGTTAAATATGAATATACTTTTTAGAATGCTATCTTATACTGGGTGAGATATACTTGGTGTGTTTGGTTTATATCAAATCGAGCCTCTCTGTCTCTCGGGGAGAGAAGTAAGGTCTACGTATATCTAACCGCCAGACCCAATCTACGGGTGAGATATACGGGTTTGTTTGGTTTAGTTTATACCAAATGAAAACACACACACACAAAAAAATGAAAAAAAATGAAGGTGTAAACGAGAGGCCTTACTTCCGAAATAAAGCCTCTTTATCAACACAGAATTTTAAACCCTTTTCTAGATCATCAGGGAAAAGGACGGCTGCGATATCATCATTATGTTTTCCCGCAATGTTCTTAATGAAGAATTCTTCATCGATTGGAACCCCACCATTGAACCCAATCTGTTAATGTAAAAAATCTTGATCAATCGAGAAATCTTGATACAAGTCATTCAAAATGTACTGAAACTATCAATGTTCAAAGATGATATGCAAACCTCTAGAAGCATTTCACGGAAAGCATCTAGGTGGATGGGATCCGAATCACAAAGAGTTCCATCGACATCGAATAATACTGCTTCAAGTGGAGCAAGTGGCGCAAGCGCTGTTTTGCTGTTGCAACAAACCGAAGAATGGAAGTTAGTAAGCGTGATTTTCGTTTTTTTTCCATCCGTATGTTGTAAAAGCGAACGTATGGATGCATATAAAGATTGCAAATAAAGCAATTAATTATATAAAATTCAACATAACAACCTTAACATAAGGGTGCGCTTGGTACGCAGGACAAGATGAGACATGACAGAACAAAAACTTGTTTCAACTGGATTAGACTTGGGCCTTTAGGGCCCCTCCTCAAAGGTCACCAATTTGAGTTTTGCAAGGCCACTAGGGATTTTCCAGGTCGGATTAGTTAAGGTGTGTGTAAGCTGGCCAGACACCCATGGTTAACAAACAAAAACTTGTTTTAACTCACCTATTTGTCCCCCAAGATCATTATTAGAACTTAATGAGCTTAATGGAACACACAACTTATTCGGTCAAACTATGCATGACTATTTGGTAATGACTTAATGATATAGAAAGTGGCTTATTCGATAAATTTCTAGAGGAGAGCTTTATGCATAAAGTCAAGTTTTCTTCAAACCTGCCCCTCCCGATTAAAAAACACATCCTTCCATCTATAAAAACTCTTCCAAACAAAAAGTCTCTCAATATATACACATAAATTAACTTACACAGACATCTTTTTCCATACAGCACTTAGTGAAGTACCAACCAAACAGTCCCCAAGGCTATATTTGGCATTTAGTGCCCTTGGGGTATGCCCCTCGTATTTTGTAGTTTGTTTTTTCTTGAATTAAGTTTTTTCTTCGGGTTTCGTCCCTTTTCCAAAAAAAAAGGCTATGCTTAACAAACTAGCTGATATTGTTGTTAGCTAAAAAGCTAGCTGTTGGTTAATAAAATAGCTAGAATAGCTGAAAAGGTAGATAACAAGTAAAATGACCTAAAAGGGCAAGTTAAACAATTAATCGAAAAACTATAAGGGGTATAATCGGAAAAAAGTGAAAAAAACCCGGAAGCACGTTGAAACGTGTTTCAGAAAACTAGATTATGATGAACCAAACAGGATTTTTCAAATAAGCTCAAAAATTATTTAAAAAAAATTCCAAAAGATAATATAAGAATTAACCATTCTTATGGACAATGTGGTAGAGCAGCATATGCTCTTGATCTAAAGCTTTACAACCACAAACGATTTAAGACCTCTGTGCTCAAATCTAGAAAATTCTAGAAGCATAGATGCACACAGAAGAAGCTTTCATCAGAGAAATTACATCTATTAAGTGTTAAATCGCTCAGATATGCTAATCCTTAATCCCTGATCCCTAATTCTCGATGATATTAGATGAATAATATCCCAATAAATCAAGTGATCAAACCTAATAATGAAAAACACAATTCTCATGTTAATCACAGATCAATCACCAATTCCGTAATGAATCGAAGCAACAAACGGATTTTTAACTAAAATTACATCCAAAAATAGATCGTTTCAATGAGCACGATCATGATAATTTAGGGCAATTCTTCAAATCTTCAAACGAATAACAAACGATCATGTAAACGAATTTAAGAACCCGATCATTTGAACAAGAAGAAAAATTACCTGTTCACTTCATTGGAAGAAACCGTCATGCTGCGAAAGGTGATTTGAAGAAGAAATCTGTGGAAAAGCAGCAGAAAATGGAGAAAAAATGAAAAGGGGTTATGGGAGAAGAGAAGAGAAGAAGTGGGAATGAATTCAAATGGAATCTTGATGCGAATATGTGCAGAGCGTCTGGCTACAAACAGACGATGGCAGTCGATTAAGACTTTTCCAAGATCGTAACCATCAGAAACAATAACCGAAACAAATGCAACACCTTTAATTTTTGATTTTTTTACAAATTGTACAAAAATAAAAACTGAGGAACACCTGGTAATCGTTCTGGACGTTATATACAATTAATTGGAAAACAATTTATTTTATATGCATACAGACATAAAACCAAAAAAACAACTTCAATTACTTGTGTACAGATGAATGATTATCAGAGTATTTTGCAGTTTTTATTATTTTTTAAGTTTTTCATTTGAACCTCGCTCATTGATTATTAATCTATAAGTTTTTAACTTTTGATTTATAAAATACATTATAATTATTTGGACAAATGTTTAACTATCGGTAACTCCAGTCTGCCATTCACGAAACCTGTTCAGGGGCATCACATGTCAAAGAGGCATTTCGTGAGCTGACTCAGCAGCCAAGGGCCGAGGCAAGCGGATGGATTCAAGCCCGCACCTCGTCAGTAAAATATGTATTGAATCAAATGCTATTTCACAGTATTTTTTCTGTGAAAGTTCGGTTTTTTACCATCACATTGTTTTGCTGTAAAGTTTCAAGTGTAAAAAAGTGATTTTACGGGTCTCAGAAAAACAAGCGGGTCTCACGTGAACCCAACCCATACAACATATTTGTTCTAATCGTCAGACACTGATATGTATTTTTTTTTTAAAATCAATATTTTTAAAAATAAGTCAAGGAAATTAAAGATAAAAAAGTTTAGGGAACAAAATCGAATTTTTCTAAACTAAAAGGGTATAATTTAAACATTTTAAAACTTGAAGGGCAATGCAAAATTTGTAACCGATATTCCCCGGTTCTTTTAATATTTTACACGTGCGCTTTGCTCAATTAATTTAACAAATATTTTATTATTTTAAAAAAAAATTATACCTAAAGAATGATAATATATTTTTATTAATTTATAATTTATTCACAAAATAAGTAGCGTACTTTAACTTGATTCTTATTTTGAATAACGTAATTTTTCATTTTGGTACCTAAGATGTAAAATTTTAAACATTTAAGTACTCGGGTAATCGATTGAACCATTAACCTGTTATCATATTGATGTAGCGAGTGATGTGGTATCTAACTCATTATTATTTGTTGATGTGGTTAGTGACATGAAATTTTTTAATCTAAAATTAGTCTTCAACCGGTTACCCAGATACTTAAACGTTTAAAACTTTACATTTTAGGTACCAAAATAAAAGTTTTAAAAATACGTTTCCAAAAATATGAATCAAGTTAAAGTACGATATATTTTCATGCAATCTGCCCATTATAAAAAGAAGGGTTTGATTTTAAAAAATATTCATTTAGGGTATCAACAAAATTTAAATGGTATATCTCATTTTGAAGTAGGGTCTAGGGGTGCATTTAACCTACTGTCCAACCCCACATCTTACCTCTACCACTAAGGGGGTGTTTGGGATTGCTTATTTGAAACAACTTATGCTTTTATACAAAAGTCCTTATCAACTTATTATAAGTCAGAAGGTTTTAACTTCTTTAAAAAACTTCTTATTACCGGTTTGGCACCGGTATAAGCTGTTTATCCAAACACTCAAAAGTGTTTATTACCGGTGTCACACCAGAATAAGTTCATAAGTTGTTTTTATAAGCAATCCCAAACACCCCTTAAGAGTAGCACAATTGTGTTTGTGAATATAATACCTTTGGTTTGTGAAAAGTGCGTAAAAAATAAAAAAAGTTAGCCTCAAAATTTTGAGAAAGTTATTCCTAAATACTGTTACTGTTACTTATAGATCTGATATGACACACTGAATACATTTATTTGAATTTCTTATGTTCCAGACTGTTATGCGTTTCTTTTATCTTGACATTTCTTGGACCACAGGAGGTGCTTGAGGATACATTACGGTCATTGTTTGTCTAAATCTCTCCTTGTTTCTCTCCCACCCTATAAAAACCGAAAAAAATAAATCACCATACAGATATATGTACAAATTTTAACCTGTAAAATATAACTGATATATGCTTTGGTCAGTATGTAAGTCAAAAGGGTACCTTGAAAGACGATGAATCCTTGGTGCTCAAGTTGTCGATATTGTTGACAAAGTGCACACTGGTGGCAAAAGAGATGAAGGCAATAGTCGCTGGTCAAACTTCCCTTTAGATTCCACTGTCTTCTCAATTTGGTACGATAAAGACCGTTATAAAACGTGGCTAAAATAAAACCAATGATCCATCCTTGATAACTCATGGACCCAATACACCGATCTTTGAAAAGTATAAACCAGATAAAATCGACTATTTCCATGAACCCAACTTGGACTATGTATAGAAAGCAATACAACGATCCCGGTTCTGTCCAAACTGTATTTTTTTTTTCAAAAACAAAAATATGTTATTACAGTTTTCATAAAACCAACACGAGGATTTTCTACAAGAACTTACTTGTTTCTCCTTCGTTAACGATTTCTGCAATTTTTCCAAATGCAACACAGGGGCAAAGAAGTACCAAAAAACCTATAAAAAATGGGTTTCAGAAAATATAACAGATATATTTAAATTTGAATAATTCTTGAAATTATTTATTCGGGAAAGTAAAAATAATCATACTTATTTTAAGGTCGGAAAAGCAATCAAAAAGACCGATTGCCCAGCTATGACGTTCATCAGGGTAATATATTGGTTCTTGACCTACAACGAAAGGTGGAGGGGGATAAGGAGGAGGAAAAATCAGACCGTTTGGCCATAACGTTGGAACCGTGTGCATGTTGGATACTGACGATGATGTTGACGACGATGAGCATTGGTGGTTGATTTTTGGCAACGTTGGTATTACTGGTGGTGCATTTCGCTGGTGGATTTGAGATCGTTGTGGGTCTTCCTTCATCGTTTCGTTCAGAGGGGAATTTTTTTTTGATATATTGATAAAAAAACAGTTATTTTGAGAGAAAACTGAAAGTCGAAATCAAACTTGATAATTGTTTTTGTTTTGCAGCGAAAATGGAATGCGTGATTTTAGAGGTTCGATGCATGATTGCCTCAAAACTGACAATTTTTCTTGAACAGAATCTTTTAAAATGACCATTTTACCCTATTTCATTTTAAAATCTTTTAGAAAAAAATACTTATGCACGGAAGATGCAACAAATAAATTCACACACCCTCATCACCTTTTGGGAGACAGTATCGTCGTTGATTCATTCCAGTCGGTAAATACAAGAAGATTTTGTCTAAAGGAGTCAATAAATTCATGGAAATAAAGATCTAAATGTCGATAATTATCAGATTGATAGCAATATAATCACGATGCAAATAACCATCTTAATTGAGGTTTTTTGAGGTTCTACGTTATACAAAAAAAGTTGTATATCATCGAAAAGTATAATTCATTGATAAAAGAAATGAAACGGAAGTTCTAAACCATGTGATTTTATGTGATGCAAACAATCTGTATAGTTTGACGAACACTTGTATCTGTAAAAATGTATGTGATTGTACCTTTCAGAAAACCAGTTATAGTTTTAAAAATCTTGAAATAACAGTATACATAAAAAATCAGAGATAAACGTTTACAGATCACTGGATGATGAGAGGGGACAAAATCCGTGAGATGAGATGACTCGAACTAAAAAATGTTCGCATTTTCAGATAAATAATCCTGTTTGAATTCATTTAAATAGTATAAATAATATAAAAAATGTGAAAATTGGGTTTTATTGTTAATATATTTAAGTATGGAATTGGTATCCATTACTAGACGTAGGGGTGCTCAAAAATCCGGCCAACTCGATCAACTTGATTAGCCCAATTCAATCCAACGTGAAATAACTCAACTGAAGCAACCTAATGTCTAACCGAGTTGTAAAATTTTCAAACTGTAGGTATTGGGTTGATATTGAGTTACTATTATTTGAACTCAACCCAACCCGGTGAACCATATATCTTTTTATTTTTTGGATTTAATATGATTGTTAACATTAGACAATTACACTATCATGTATGCTCCTCATATACACATATTTTCAATCTATTCACATCTGTATATAACTTATTCGTATATATGTTCAGTAACTGTGAACATATATATGTAAATTGAGAAAATTAATTGAATATGATATACGTAAGAAGTATGGATAAGTTGTATCAAATGGTTGACAATGAAAAAGAAATTATGAGTAGAGAAATAACATATACAAGATTACAAGAATATTTTAATGTACCAGATGATCAATCCGATCAACCCTACAATTTAGCTTGGGTCGGGTTAAGATTTTTCAAATCACAAACATTTGGTTGGGTTGTTCAAATGTCTTCAACCCGATCAACTCAACCCATGAGCACCCGTAACTGAACAGACCAAACAAAAAAAAAAAACTTACTGTTCTATGTTTTATACAATATTGGATTGGGACCGGACCATGACTATTTTGGGAAAAAAAATGCAGTTCTTTGTCAAACCAAAATAGACGGAACAAAAAGCGGGGAGATATGACAAAATTGAGAATTATTACTCCCTCCATAATGCCCATAATGAAAAAAAGGACAATTTTATTAATGTGTAATTGTTATACTTTTAATTAATTAAAATGACGATTTTATCCATAAAAATAGCAGGAACGCAATGAAGTTCTCTGTCTCACAGTAGAGTTGAAAGGTAGACTGTTCCTTTTGAAAGTGAACGTTTGTTTTCAGACTCAGGGTGTACTACACATACAAAATTAAAAACCTGAAACCTTTCATAATCTTTTCACCTGTCTACCTCACTCTTGTCGGTCCAATTCAGTAGTATCCTAACCGTTCCAATCCAATATACCGAACACACCCTTACAGAGCTTTTGGTTTGACAGAATGTTTTTGAAGGATTTGGATTTCGTATAAAGATCTGGTATTGGAAGTCATGCCGTATCCATTCCACCTCCATGTCCACAACCGTTGGCTGTCGCCATTGTCATTGTCCACTATCTTCACATCCACAACATCACCTCCACCATAACCACCGTCCACCACCACCTCAACCTCCGACCATTAAATGTTTTAATCATAATGCCACAATGTTCATAAATGGTTCAGAATATTCCAAAGGTTTCCATCTCTGGACCGTTGGAGATGGAGTAACTTCCGTGGTCTATACAAGTCTTTTTGTTTCACTAATTACTACGATTCCTCCACAACCACCACCTCCATATCCACCATCGTTGGCCACCGCCACCACAACCACCACCATCGACCACCTCCGCCACAATCACAACCTTTACTTTGACCACCACTGGTAACCATAACAGAAAATTATGAGTACATTACGTTTTTCATTCTTGTAGTTTGTTAAAAATTACAATTTCCGTCCCTATAGTTTAAAAATTACAGTTTTTATCCTTATGCTTTATAATTCATTGCTATTTTCGTCCTTTAAATTCTCAATTTATTGTTGTTTCAGACACTATGGTTTACAACTCTTTACCGTTCCGATGCATTGTACTTAAAGTTAGGAATAAGTCTAAGAACGAAAAAAGCAATAAATTACAAACAATAGGGACAAAATCGTAATTTACTCTAAAATTATTAAACGACGTTTAGAAACAACTTGTCCAACTCACTCCTGTGCCCATCCCAGTCCAGTCTGTATACCAAACGCTACCTTCCATACGAAGTATGCCAATCATTTAAAAGGACCAACCTTTTTACTCACCATGCCATTCAAGGCATAGAATCATAACATTGAAAACCAAGATTAAAAAGAAGACAATTAACATTCAAGTAAAAAAAAAACACAAAAGAGTGAAGCTCCTGAAACTGTGTTGTTATACACACTCAACAATAAAATGTTATGCTGCTGCTGCTGCTGCTGCTGAACAACAACAACAGCAACAACATACAAACATCAATCAATAGAACAAAAAATTGGGTTTCAGAAAGAAAACACAACTTTCTCTCATGGTTACATGATGGTGCATCGGCTTTTCTCCTCCGTTGCTTGCATGCTGACCTGCTGGTACCTGTTTGGCTCGTTCGGGTTGTATGTGAACTCCGATGTATCAAGTCCATACTGTTTTACATCAAAAAAAAATGTGTACTCAAATCGCATCTTTATTTCTTCTCACACCATATAAAGACGAAACCCGTGTAATAAAAATGATCAAAAAGGGTATATAAGCAAGCAGGGTTGGGTTCCGGTGAGAAGCGTAAGAAGAGATCTCCACCCTTGGATAAATCCTAATTGAATGTCAATAACAATGAGGTGCACTGAGATGCACATGATCAATTCCCTTCTAAATCGCAATTCATGGGTGGGCATGAGATTAAAAGTGATCATGGGTTCAGATCTCTTCTTACACTTCTCACCATAACTTCCCTTCTCACGCGATCCTTCGCCTAAGCAATTAACGCATAGAATTTGCACAACAGCCTACCCCTTTCAAAACACCTTGCTCCCGTAAAATCTTAGGGGGCGTTTGTTTGACGAAATGTTTTTGAGGGATTTAAATCACGTGGAAGGATTTGGAATATTGGGTTTACAGGATTTGGAACGGGCCTTAGAAATACATTAGAGGGTTAGATTTTTAAATTCAGCTTTTGAGAAATTCAGCTAAATAGCCCGTAAAAATTTGAAGCCTTTAAAGAAGACATTTTTTCATACCTTCTCCCTCATCCGTGCACTCCATGCATCGTTTCTGCTTGGACGGCTATCGAGGGTTCCAGGAGCAACCTGAGAAGGAACGGGTTGCCTACTGATCAATGGCTGCCGTTGCTGCCTTGGACCATCGATGTACTCCTCATCGCTATCATAATCTGATGGACTATTTGCAGCCCGAACCATAAGTGCTAACAAGAATACAAGAACCTGAAAACGAACGCCTGATAAGAATAGAAAAAAATATCGCTTGCCTTCTCGGAAACGATCTCTCTATCTCTTCAGATAGGTCGTAAGAGGATCTCCAACAAATTCTCCAAAATGGAGAATCAAAAGTCGAAATCTCCAAAGAAAATTTATATTCATCTCCAAAAGTTTCTCCATTTTGGTGATTATAATATGAATTATATTATTAAAATATTCAATACCTTTCATAAAATATTCTCTCCTATACATTTAATCTCAAGGATTCTCATTGGTAGGCAGAATAAAAAATAATCTCTTTCATAGATAATCAATTTTGCAGAGTTTCCAAATTTGGAGAATTCCACCCCCTCTCTCTCTCCTACTTTCTCCATTTTGGAGAAGGTTTTGGGGAATCCGTTGGAGTAAAAATCCCCAAAATCTTCATTTTGGAGGATCTGTTAGAGATGCTCTTCCAATAGATCATCTAAAATGAAGAAAACGGGGATTTTGGGCAATTTTTTGCTCCAACAGGTTCTCCAAAACTTTCACGAAAATGGAGAAAGTAGGAGAGAGTGAAATTCTCCAAATTTGGATAACTCCCTAAAAATGTTACACTATCAAATGAATAATTTTTTTATTATACTCCATTGATAAGAAATCTTGAAATTAAATGTTTAGAAGAAAGAAAGAATATTATATTAAGTGTATGTAATATTTTAATAATATAATTAATGTTTTAATCTTCAAAATGAAGTTGTTGGAGTTGAATGCAATTCTTTTTGGACATTTTGAATCTCCATTTAGGAGAATTTGTTGGAGATGCTCTAAGAATTCGGTAGGTTCAAATGATAACCGTAAATACTTTGAGAACCTCGGGACCAACTATTCATTATTTATTCATGATGAATGTTGTGATAGATATTCATGATGAAAATTATTGATAATGAAAATGTATATGATATTCATGATGAATAATAGATACAATTATTCATGAGGAATAATATTCACGATGAATAAGATTCATGATTATTGAGGTTATTCATCATCAATGATACATGAAATAGTTGGTTTCCAAGTTCTTAGAATATTTAAGTTTCTCATTTCAATTTCCCTTAATTGAGGTATAAACACGCATATCGACTCTAAAATCTCTTTAGAGCTACGATAGGATGCAACATAACTAGTTCCTTCTACTCTCACTTCTAAGGCGCATTACTTTCGGTTTTTTGAAATACGGACATCACACAAGGGCAATATATTAGTGCCTTACCTCCAATATAACAGCGCCAAGTGCAACCCATCTGCATATATTCCAATTCTTCTCAAGAAATCTATACATCGTGTCAAATTCTCCAGTTTTGTCAACCGGGATCTCCTGACGACACATTTACGTTCAAATAATCAGATAAATACAATAATACACACATTTGAAAATCAACACAGTTGTTAAACGCAAACTCACGGCTCTCCAGCTTTTGTCAAAGAAGATGAAAGCGGCACATCCCAGTTCCGCCAGTATTAACAAAATCACAAGTAGCGAGTACTGCATTGGCTTAAGGAAATCAACTACGTATACGTTTACCACATTAAAGACTTTGAATGTAACCGCTAGTGCATTTGGTACGTGGGACAGTACTGAACAAAACAAAAGTTGGTGTCCCATGTTTTGTGGGACAATTAGGGCCTATCTGTTAGCAGCTTAATGAGCTTAATGGGACTCACAGCTTATTCGATTAGCTATAGATGACTGTTGGGTAGTGGCTTAATGATATAGAAAGTGGCTTTTTCAGTAAGCTTCTAGGGGAGAGCTTTATGCAGAAAGCCAACTTTTTCTATACATGTCCATCCCAATTAAAGAACACGCGATGAAAAAACCCTTCCAAACAAAAACCTTCTCAATCTATATGGACAGATTAGTCCACACAGACAGCTTTAACGATACAGGACTTAATGGAAAGCCAACCAAACAACCCCTGTGGGAGAAAAATGCATTTTTCCCATTCCATCTAAATAGGCGGAGCAAAATTTTGGGAGATGGGAGAAGATTGGTAAATTACTAAATTACCCATGTTAAATTAAAACACTAAAACCTTCCACGATTCTTTCACACGCCTACCTTACTCTCGCCCGTCCAGTACTGTCTGCATACTAAACGCATTAATGATTATTTTCCTGTTGTAAAATGCGTTCCTTCTTACGTTAAAAATGCATATATAATGAAGTCATAAGATAGGATACGCAAGTTAGGCAACATCCACTTCGAGTTGCTGCTCCAATGCAACCAAAACAAGATATGACAAAGAGAAGCGCACCAATGCCGACAAAGAGATAAATGAACCTGCATAGAATGAAAAACTAGTTACTTGCAATTAGTGGAAAGTTTGGTAACTTCAGCTAGTATGATATGGAAGCTTGTACCATATCTTCAACCAATTTGAAGCTATAAAACCAATGTGATAAACCTCAAGAACTGACATAAGGAACCGAAACACACACACATATACATATATCTATGTGTCTATCTCTCTCTCTCTCTCTCTCTCGAAACACACATTCTTTCTCTTTTTGGCGCACAATCTATGTGTCTATCTCTCTCTCTCTCTCTCTATATATATATATATATATTGTAGAGGAAAGTTCAGTTGCAAACTTGTGGGGAACAAAGAAGAAAGCGACACATGTCCGCATTTGTTACCATTCATCATGAATAATGAACGTGAAATTTTTATAGCATGCAAGATGAATGTTACACCAATTAGAATGAATATCCCGTGAATGTCTGGGACACGTGGAGAGCTTTTCTTCCTAGACCACCCTGGGGTGGATGCACAGGTTCCATTGATTTGGTAAATATCCGCTACTTGCAGTCAAAGGAATTAAAGCACACAATTCCACCAACAACATAACTGAAACAAGTCGAATTCAATCCTTTTCAGTTTAGAAAACACATAAACGTCGTTTAATAGTATCACATGATCATAACCTAACCTACAAAAATTCTAATCATATGTAGACGGTAAATTTCATTGAATGAGAAGTAGAAAAGAACCACATACTCGTTAGTTATTCATAATTCCATATACCTGCTTCATGAGACAAAAATACAAAAGAGTGTAGAGGACATCATAACATGAATATATCTTATCTAAGACAATATGGTTAATAGACCAACAATAAAACTGTAACACCACAAAGCCCAACGCAATATGTTGGCCCAATAACTTCGAATCCAACTTAAAACCATGGTGGAAGTTATTGGTAGCCCACAACTTGAGGCTTATAAAAAGCTCATAAATCCCATTTTCTATCTATGTGGGACGAGTGGTTACAAAAATGCAACTTATATGCAAGTTAAACATCTGTAAAAGAGGATAAGAAGGCTATAAATTGCTAAAAGACACAAAGAATTCACCTAAGTTAGAGAGTATACGATTCTAGCACCCAAACCATTTGGTTTTAGGACTAAACTAAAAGAATTCATCGAGATCCTTCGAATTCTTCATCTTCATATCATTAACATATGAAACCTTAAATAGCAAGTATCTTTGAGTTGCATTATTTTTTAACATCTAACTTTTTATAGCTATTAACTATCCCACATCATCTTTGTATGTGGTGTGTATTTTTGTAGGCATTAAAATGATGATAAATGCTTAATTGAGTCGAGTCGAGTCAAGCTCCTAGAAAGAGAATCTTAATGCTCTTTATCCAACTTATTCATTAAGAGTAATGAGACTCGCAACTTATTCGGTCAAATATACATGACTATTTGGTAATGGTTTAATGATATAGAAAGTGTCTTGTTCAATAAGCTTCTAGGAGGGAGCTTTATGCAGAAATCCAAGTTTTTGTTTTCCAAATCTGCCCCTTCCAATTAAAAAAACACACTCCTTCCATCTATGGAAAAACTCTCCCAAACAAAAACAATCCCAATCTATACAGACAACTTTATCCATAAAGGACTTAATGGAAAACCAACCAAACAGCCCCCAAGTAGGCAGGAAATCTGAACTCTTTCGAATGTAACTGCATAAAAGAAAGAACTACACAGGGTCATTTGCCCAATAGTACCCAGGTTACCGGTAGAGCTCAACCTCTCAGAAAGTCAAAGGTTCAAACCTTATCAACGGTGAGAAGTGTGCGTAAGTATTTGTCATATATAAATATTATATACTTCAAAAAATAAACCATGTGATACAAATCAATATGCAAAAAGGGATTCACAAAACACAATCAACATATGACACCATACATACCAAGCAGTAGGCAAGTTATCAAAGATCTTGTTGCTTGACAGTGAGACGGCCATTAGCATCGGGCGACCAAGCTGTATCGATTCTCCATGTAGCGGATCCCAATCATCGTTTGCATTTTTGAACATAACAAACATGTAAATCCCATATCCGACCATGGCAAGACCAAGAAGTGTCAACAAGAAGTTTAGGAGCTTCAATAAACACTCCAAAAACCCCTTACAACCCATAATGAATTGCTACTCAAATCAACAATGTTATGATCTTATAAAACCCACTTCAATCCTACATTACAAAAACCAAAAAAAAAACAGCATTAAATGCAAGATCAATCATAGTTACATGAGAAAATGGCACAAATAGCCCTTTTGACCGACCAAATTCACCTCTTAACCATTTCTCTCCCATTTTTTCAAAGAAAATGAACATCTCCGCAAGTGCCTGGCCACAATTTGTGGAGGGGCCAAAAATAATAAAAGAGCAAGTTTGGTGAGGTGGGTTCCTGCAAGGGCCACAAGTGCTCTTGCCTCGAGTGGAACACTTTGTAGACTCCCCTAACGTGATGTCCGTGCACATGCCATATTAACACTTTGTAGACTCCCCATAACACCTCTCTCTCTCTCTCTCTCGAAACACACATTCTTTCTCTTTTTGGCGCACAGATGAAGTTGCGGATGTGCTACCTGCAGACCATGCTCATAAATTGTTTTCCTTTTGGCCCCTTGCAAGTCGAAGAATGGTTACTTGTGGAGGTGGTGAATTCGTTGAAAATACAGTATACGAATGGCTAAGAGGTAAATTTGGTCGGACAAAATGGCTATTTGTACCCATTATCGCTAGTCACATAACAGAAAACGAGAGAAAGTGGAATAAATAAAAGGAAATACAGAAAATTGGAGCTGATTTCACTAAGAAAAAAGTATTAAATGCAAAATTTCTCAGTTTTTTTTTTCTAATTTTCATTCAGCAATCACTTCCATCACAAACTAGAAGAAACCCCATCATGATCAGCTTTTCCATTTGTAGAATTTCTCTCAAAATTACGGAACTGAAGACCAACAAAATCACGTAAAACCTAAATTTTCCAAAATATACACACAAAATTACATACATCCAAACAAGGTCTCGTTAATTCTACGAACATAATTAGACGTACTCACAATTCATAGTCTGTAGATCATCAAAAGAAACCCTAATTGATCGAAAACTCCAATCCATCACAAAATTGGATTCATGATTCAAAATAAATTTCAAGAAAAAGTAAACAAAACCGCATTAATCTCAAAAAGTAAACCAAACAAAGATCACATTGCAACCATCTAGTGAGAAGGATTCTTGATTTCGAAGAAAATATGAACCCAGATTGGGGATAATCGGATGAAGTTACTTACACAGGTGGGTAGCGATAATTGCTGAACTTTCAGATTTCGGAAGTGCGAAGACGAGAGGAAAAATGACGAAAAGGGGGCATGAAATTGAATAGTGGGTGAGAATAAATTGAAATCAATAATCAAAAAATTGGGGTTTTCAAAGATTATTATCCCCAAAATCGTTATTCAATTGCTGGCCCTAATTGTTTTTGTATGTGGACCAGGGGAAATGACACCGCCGAACCGGCGATTACCATTGAAAATCTTTATACGATCAAAAGTAAATTCTTTGATTAATCCATTATCCTTTGACGATTTATTAATTTAATCAATGTTTATCTTGAAATTGATGAAATGATTGTGATGTTTGATTAATGTACCCAATGATATTTTTATAACATCAAAAGACTAGATACACTTAAATTAATGGATGTTTGTTAGTTGATTTTGTAGACTTTGGGATCAACCTGTTTTCGTGAGACCCATGAAACAATTTTTTTATACGTGAAATTACAGTGATTTTGCTATGAATGTCCGACTTTTCTTTTATTTTCATAACGTTTTGCTATGAAGCTTCAAGTGTAAAAAATTGTCTTACGGGTCTTACGAAAACATGCTGGTCTCACGTGAACCGGACCCAAGTTATGTATGTTAAATAAAATAATAATGTGTCTTTATTTGATTGGTAGAATTTGGAGGGAACTAAATTTTGGAACAAACACTTTTTGTTTTATTTAGTTAGAGAGGGTAGGGTAGTTAGAGAAATCAGTATAACCATAGGTGCTTATGAGCAACAGATAGTTAGCATCTGGTGCATCTGTTGATGTTGTCGTTGACGGTCGTCAACTGATGCTTCTGCTAAAACCAATCAGTTGCAATTCCCACTAAGTGCCTTTGTTTCCGCTCTCTTTGATATTTCGTTAGATGCATACATCACTAATAAAAACTGTTAAGAACTTAAAAAATAGTAATTCATGCAACAGTTTCATGATGGACTCAAAAGTTCTACCCCTTGGAGTCCAACGGGGGCGTTGCCCCCATCTCCCCTAAGAACCTGCAAGATGGCATGCCCCTTTTGACCAAAATGACCACCAAAATTGCCTTCCAAGGACGATTTTGATTATTTTGGAACGATTCTGACTATGAGATACATGTAGAATTCATCCGTATCTTATAGTCAAAATCTTCTTAAAATAGTCAAAATCGCTCTCTAAGGACGATTTTGATGAACATATTGTAAAAAATCTCTAAAAATCAGATCATTTTGTTAATATACCGTATATAAAATGGTAATTTTAGGTAATTTCCAACATTTTAACCAATTTGGCATCAATGGATAGAAGGGGTTCAGCAGGTGAAGACATAAAGCTCCGGTCAACAGAACCCATCAAATCATACCCACCACCACTTTGTCTATATCGTGTCATTAAATCTTTTCTAATAAAAATATATAATATATTTAAATATTTTTATTTAAAAATATCATATAAATATATACTAAAATGGTACTCACACAATGTAACGAAATATATCTTAATTTTAATATTTTATTTTATTATTATCTTAATCGATGTTATAACACGATCATATACCAAAATAAAATTCAAATTCATAATTATTGATAGCCTCGTGAAGGTGCTGTTAATCATACCATCATGTCCTTATTGGTCGACTTTTGTTTGTTAACACGTGTCTTTATGATCGCTTGATATAAAAAGGTTTTTCTTTTTAATATTTTGTTGTTTTTTATAAATAAAAAATAATCAATTAATTTAATTTATTATTTAGACAAAAAATTGATTACCAACGATTCTAACTAGTACATAATCCGGTTCTAGGGGCGTACCCACTCTATTGGATATGATGAGTGTAACATTCAGGCTAACCATACCGAATATTGTCCGCCCAGCATTCTTGTTGGCATACTAGTCAGGTTCCTGGCTCTGATATCATATGTAACATCCGAGGTTAAGCGTACTATATATTGTCCGTTTTTTTTCCATACACATAGACTCACGGTTTTAAAACGCGTCTGATACAGGAGGTATCGAGTCCCTTATAAGATATCGTGTCTGCTCACTTTTGTTTCTTTCCCCAATCAATGTGGGATCTTACAATGGCACGGGCTATCGCTTCATTCATTCGTCTTAGTGTAAAAATTTATAGGGACATAAATGTGTCAGTGTATCAATTTCTTGTGTGTCATCGTATATATTTTGAAACGATCGATGACACAAGTTTCTCTTGATAGAGTTGATTTGTATACATTTTCTCACACAAATGAAAAAGTGTAATGATTTTTTAATTAAAAAATAATTTAGGAAGTAAAACATTCAAAAATGAAAAAGTTCATTGAGTTTTTTTTTTTTTTTTTAACTTTTCCCGATATATAATCAAAAGGCAAAATTTCCAAAGGAAACTTATATTCGTCTCCTAAGTTTTTTCATTTTGGAGATTAACGTTCATAAAATATTATCTCTCTCCTATACATTCAATTTCAAGGATCTCAAAGCCCGATCAGCCGAAATTTTGGGGGCAGTCTCGGCTTGAAAAGTCTTGCCCTGAAAAGTGAAGCATCCTAAAAATAGGGATGGTGATTTTCCCTAACCTGGTGGAGGACCCGGTTCACCCGACCCGAACGAGGACGGGGATACCACGCTAAAACGGGTCCCGGGGCCGGGGGATGTTACTCAAACCAAGGCCGGAGCCGGGGATCCGCGGTAGAATCGAACCAACGGATATTTTTCATGGGGTTTGACCAGGGACTGATAGAGGTTTGACCTCCCGTACCCGTCGGGAACCAGGGCCGGGAGATGTTACTACAAACCGGGGCCGGGGATTACAAAATCCGCCCCATCCCCTCCCCGTTGCCATGCCTACCTAGAAACCCATGTTAATCTAAAAATATCCCGATCGGGCCCTTTTTCAGCCCGACGTTGTCTGGCTCGGGACTAAAAATGTTAAAAGCCCATGCCTTTTTTTCTGCTCACTTAAAAAGGTTAGCTTGGGCCTTCTGCATCATTATATAGTATCACAGTCAAGGCCTACCACTTTCGAGACCCGACACTGTACTCTAGACACTCATGAGACAATCGGTACTCATCAATTCATTGTAGGAGACCCGCAACGGCTAGACTTGGGCCATTTCTACTTAATACATCTCGTAACTTCTCTCTTCAAGGGCTTATTTTGAAGGGTAATCTAAATAGGAATCCACGTATTCTCACCAAATAACACAAGCAAAAACATCATTTAAAAGGTTCTACGAACCCTTCACATAATAACTTATAATCGTCTACATCGACAAACCCACAAAGATGTGCACCTTAAGTTCCATTTCGAACCTATCGACAAAATGCAAATCCTCGATTTTTTCCTCTTTTCGGGAAATCTAGTTTCAGTTGTTCGTGGGATGATACGAAAAACACTAACTCGCTGACTAAATAGCGATAAGAACGAACCTTTAATTAATTAATCACTCGATGTGTTGTTGCCTTTGGTGCCGACCCAATATTGTTTAGAAGCAACGAAGATCTTCTTGGGAACAAAGGGTCCGTCTTCGTGATCCAGCAATTTAACGTCCCATCTCATGCCGGCCGTGATTTTCATCACCTTGGTCAACACATCTACTTCATCTCGGAGGATGACCGAACCTTCGGGCCGCAATATCCGATCCATCTCTAGGAGGATGTCTTCGAGATCACACCTGTTTCATATAAACAAAACCGAATCAAACTATTGCAGTATATCCCGCCCAGGGGTGGGATTGGGGGCGGTAAAGGTGTTAATAAGTTGAATTGAGGAGCTGGCTGGTTGGTTTTCCTGTATGGTTAAAGCTGCCTCTGATGATTAATCTTTCTGTATAGATTGAAATGCTTTTGTTTGGGAGGGTTTTCTCTTAGATGGAAGGAGCGTATTTCTTAATTAGAAGGGGCAAATTTGGAAAAGACTCAGATTTCTGCATAAAGCTCCTCCCTAGAAGGTTACTGAATAGGCTACTTTCTATATCATTAAGCCACTACCAAACACGCATATGTATAACTGACCAAATAAGCTATGAGTCCCGTTAAGCTGCTAACAAACACGCCTGAGTCGAGTAGTAGGTTGTTCAAATAGGCCCAATTAATTTTTTCAAAGTAGTGCTCGAGTTTGAGCTCCATTATTTTTTCAATGTTCGAGGTCAAGGTCGATGCTCATTTGACAAATTTAAATTATACATTATACCTAAAATTTAAGCTTTAAAAGCTCGTTTATTGCTCGAGCTCAACACTTATTATATTTTGATTGTATAATTTTTGAAAATATCAACATGTTTGACTCTGACAAGCATATGCTCGAATCAACTTATTTGAGCCTTCGAACAAAGCCGAGTCGAGCATTGGTATATGGAGCTTGATTTGTTAAGTTAAAATGGGCTGCATTTCGTGTTTGAGATCGACTTGAGCTCGAGAATTATTAAGCTCGAGCTCAAGACCATCTTGCCACGTATAAAGATGATGTATGGTGGCCCATTTGGCATGGACATAGGGGATGACCAAAAGGACTGTTTGGCTTATGGGTTTTGTAGTCTGAGAATTATGCTAAGGCTATATGTTTTCGGGTAAAAACCTGCTTTCAAGCAGGATATATGGGTTGGTTTAGTTCGATTTGACTGTATCTTTTCAGGTCAGACCCTGCTTTTTGAGAGGGATATACTAGGTTGGTTTATTTTGGTTTGACCGTATCTTTTTAGGTCAGACCCTGCTTTCGGGTGGGATATATTGGGTCTGTTTAGTTTAGGTTCTTCCTATCAAATATGCTTAATCAATCTACTGTACTCTTCATTTTTTTAATAAATCGAGTCGTTAACGAACCCTTAAACTTGATTTTCTAAAGACCAAAGCAATTTTGTCAACCTCGATTCCAAGTAGACACAATCCTTTGCTTATCTTAATGGAAAGTTGGAGATCATAAAGACGTGATTACGTTCACAGAAACAGCCGTCAGATTCTTTTGGGGTAGAGGTCAGCGTACATCTCACCCTCTCCATACCCTACTCAAATGGGATTTACTCCGTCAGTTTGGTTTGGCTTCATTCTTTCAAAGACATCATTACATGCTTTTACAAAATCCTGTGTTTCAATGAAAGTTTTTGATAAAGATACTTGGGGCCCGTTTGGTTTGTTGGATTTGGAATTGGATTCCATTCCAGTCCCAACTTTTGGTTTAAGGGAAAGTCCGGAATTGAAATCCCACAAACATTGGATTTAGAAATCCCGTTGGGGTAGTAGGTATTCCATGGGACTACATAGAATTTGCTTGTAATAATGTTTTAAAATATGTTAAAAACATTCGTGTTGTAAAAATAAATTGATGGAAGGTAATTTAATAATTTTTATAATTATAATTTTGTTTTATAGTTATTTATAAAGAATGGAATTCAGTTTAATTCCAAATCTTTCCACAAGATTCAATTCCCTCAAAAGACATTCCATCAAACCAAACAGGCCCTTAATGTTTTAGTAGCAGCAAAGGGTGAAAAATTGGAAAATCATACGTCAAACCCCGCTAAATTACAGTTAGAACTTAGAAGACACTTACTTTAAGCGAGCAAGTACTTGTTTTTGGGTTTCAAATTACTCATTTACCCCTAACTATGTAGCACATAAATTAATTAATACTTCTTAGGAAAGATGAAGAGACTTACTTGTTCTCATACAAGCTGAATAGACCATTGCCATGAATAAGGTCATATGTCCTTGGGTAAGTCGAGAATCCTTCACACCTGAAGGACAAACAAAAATTGGGTTATCTCCTATGTACCTTTAGGCAATAAATTTATGCTTATTGCATGAATATGTAAAGTAGGGGCAGATTCAAATGAGAATGACGAAAAAAACTGATGAAAAGGTATAACAATATGGCTATCAAATTGAAGAAAATAAATACTTTTTTTTGGTATAATTTGTTAGGCTCCAATTTTGGTTATGTTTCGCCTGATTAAAAAAATCACATCTGATATCATCACATTTGACGGTTGAGATCTATTCTTACCTTCTCAACCTTTTTATCATTCTCATTTGAACATCTCTGATGTAAAGTATTTTATTGAACTCACCAGTCATGATATATACCGATAAGACCTCGCTCATAGACGACACCCAATGTGTTTGGAGCAATGGTTGGCACAACATTCATCACCCATAATTTATTCGAGTCAAGTGCTGCAGCAAAACCTCCAAGACCAGCATTCATATCCATTATGTTTCTGTATCTTGATGTGCCAATTAACCTGTTGGTCCTTTTGTAAGTACCGACATATGTCTTCCAAAGTTTGCTATCTTCCTGATAAGATTCAATGGAAACTTCTGGGATTAGTCCCTTCGATACCCGAGGTGGCACCGCCTGTAGCCTTGCCGGAAACTTCTTCAACTCCCCTCCTGCTACTTCATTCGCACTCTTAACTTTGGGGTAGGGAGTTTTACATGCTTCCATATTCTTGTACCTAAATTATACCAAAAGGTATCAATTTATGAGAAAACAGGGGCTCAAAAAGACAGCTTTAAAATAATAATAATAATAATAGAACTGTTATGCACAAGTTTAAACCATTTTGACCGTTATATTTCAATGACCAATAGGGTCTTGACCGCTATCAGAGGTCATGTTCTCGGAAATGCCTAAAGCCGGCGACTCCTAAATAGAAAAATAAATTTGAGAAGCTCAGTGACTCACCAGACATTATCAGCATCGCTGGATTTACAGATATCCACAGATTTCATTTGGCATGATTCGGCATTCACTTTCTTTCTCCAGATAGCAATATCTCCCTTCTCATATTTCTTTTCCCAGCAAAGAGATTCAGCAAGCTTTTCAATCTTTCTTTGCTCTGCCTTCAGATCCTCCTTTGACCGTTTCCATGTCTGATAGTACGTTTTCCAATTGATCGGAGGACCAGACAAAATCCAAAATCCACCAGGCCTAAGAACTCGATCAACTTCCATTAGGTACATCCCATCTGCCCATAGTTTAAAAACTTGATATCATGATTTTGGGTATTAAGGGAATTGAAAAAAATCAGCCACCAGTTGTTTGCATGTACACATGTTCAAGTGTAGGCGACGGAAACCAAAAACAGAACGTATGTGCTTTTCGCCCGAGGGACATGTCGAAGAACATAAGAATTATACCCGTAACCAGGGTTATTTAACGACCTCCTGACGAGTGATTTTTGATCCATGAACTCGTGACAGGTTTCGTGGCATTCTCAAACTTGTAAGAAGGTCATGGTATTAAATAAAAAACTGTCAAAAGGTCATTTAACGAAAGGACCCCATGTAATTACTAATTAGTAAATAGTATAACACTCTTTTGAAATTTTGAGTAATGCCAACCATTTCACATGGTATGACTTACTCCCTCCATCCCAAAATAAATGTCCACGATGAAAAAGGCATACCGCTCTAGAAATGTGTAATCATTACACTTTTTAATTAACTAAATGACAACTTTACCCTTAATAGTAAAGCTAGTAATGAATTTCTCCATCTCATAATTAATGGTAAAATTGGAAAGTAGGTCCTTCCTTTTGAAAGTTGACATTTATTTCATGACAAACAAAAATAGAAATGTGAGACACTTATTTTTGGATGGAGGGAGTAAAATTTACAACATACTAGACAACCAAACAGTGTGTCTCATATACATTACTCACCATTCTCCCCCCATGGTATCAGACATCGTGAGCACTGAGCCATATCAAATGCTCTTGATGGAAAAGGAAGACTTATTGATCCAAGAACGCCGATAATAGCAGGCACACCACGCTCCAAAGCAAACTGCACTTGTGCTTCATGATTGTCCCTTGGTGCAAATGACATGGCTAAAACATTTCTTTTCATCAAGTAAGCACCCCAGCTTGCAACCTATGTCAAGATTTGAAATCAGTCCCGAGAGAGATATTACCCACTAACTGGTAGTTAAAGAATTAGAGAAGTCGGATTAAGAAGCTGTTGTACTTCCAATGAAAAGACCACTTACGGAGTCACGGGTGCACTTGGTATGCAGACTGGACAGGACGAGAGTGAGGTAGGCAGGGTGAAAGAATTTTGGAAGGTTTTGAAAGTTTTAATTTGACATGGGTATTTAGTAATTTACCAAGCTTGTTCCTTCTCCCTGATTTTTGTTCCACCTATTTTGGTGGGAAAAATGCATCTCTGTCCCACTCATTACTGTCTACCGATAGAAGGCTCTCCTGTCTTTGCCCATTGATAGATATGCCTGAAGTACCGAAACTCTCTCCCTTAGGGCTCTCTTTCCGTAAGCCGGTGAGGAGTGAGGGATCTACTGAGACTGAGCCATCTTCGCTAGCCGATCTGTCAGTTCTATAGGGTATGAAGCTCTTTCCTAGTATTGGGTTCAGGAATTCATGCTCGCAGGTAAAGAGACTAAAGAAACAAGAACAGAAACAGTCTCTTGAAAGAGRGGAGCATTTGCCCACTCTGTGGTACATGAGGATCCCTGCCACATTCAATCCTTACGCACGCTAAAGACACAAACCATGTTCATAAAGTAACCTAAACCAAACCAAACCAAACGAGCGCAGCAAGTCCCACCCAAAGTAGGGTCTGGGTGTCAGAGGTACACCAACCTGACCTCTAACCTAGAGAGTAGGGCGGTTGTTTCAGTGAAGACCCTCGGCTAGTGCAAGTGTGAGAAAGGTAGAAAAACAGATACACTAAACACTGAAAAGTTAGATATGAGTAAATAATAGCAATACAAATAGTAAACGTACCCCACAGCCAGTATCCAGAGCGGTTCTGACAGAGCCATCCGCAATCGGAATCACCGATGCAAGTTCATCAATATAAGCATCTGCTCCTTGGGGAAACATCGTTCCACCACCAGGGAACTTAAATACATTGCCCTGAAACTCCACCCAATGTTGATTGGCCTTCTCGACAGTTAAGTGTTTGAAAGGCACATTAGCATAGTGGACATAATCACGTCCTTTTGGCCATGGAAACGGAGTTGAATACCCTTTTGGAGCTGGAATAAGGCATTTCAACTTCTCCTCTTGAGGGGGACAATGTCTTTCTCTATAAACCATATTTTCTCTTGTGAACTTCATAGCTCGGTCCTGTTCATGGCAGGGTGTGTAATCGGTGTATTTGACATCACATGGTTTGAACATTTTAGCTTTAGGCTTAGAAGCATCAGGAATAGGAATACTATGATGTGGGTTGAAATCAAGGGTGGCAAAATCATCCTCACATTCTGTTTTTTTGGTTATGTCCATTGCTATACTATCACCCTTCCCAAAACCACTTTTCTGCCATGTTCCTAGCAAGTAAAAGAAACAGCAGAGGCCAAAGATAATAATTATAGATAAAGGACTTCTTCGTCTATTTGTTGGAGTGTTCTTAGACCCCATTTTGTGCTTCACAATCTTGGGGCCTGAAAGCTGTATCAGTCAGTAAAATAAAAGCGTGGTTACTTAACAGTCAGATCATAGAGGGCATCATAAAAACCAAACAAAACCAAAAAGATCCAGTAAAGCCCACTCAAAAGTAGGGTGAGATGTAGGCAGACCTGACCCCTACCGATCGGGATAGAGCGGCTGTTTTCATGAAGACCCCCGGCTTGTGCTAGAGTGTGAGTAAACAAGTGGAAAAGATGAAGACTAACATATGGTAAAAGAACCAGGAATAAAAGAAAGTCGGAAAAAGTAACAAGTAGGCGCATTAAACCCATAAGGAATGGTAAGGAAGAAATAACACACACAGAGCAAGAAAGGCCCACACAACACATCTCCTGCCTAAAATGCAAGCCCTCTACCCCCAACCTATCCAACTTCCTTGTGTCCAACCATGCTAGCTATCATATAGGGCATTATCTGAATACGCATTCATACCAATCAAAAAACAACCATCGATAAAAGCTGTGGTTACCAGATGGCACTTCAAATATAATAGAAGCTCCATGGTTACAAGCTAATTATAGATATTATCCACTTCGAATAATAGATTTTAAGGATTTTCAACCACAAAATCGACTATTGAAAAACATGAATGGAAACATGACATGATGACACATATGATCAAGCTAGGTTTCTAAGAAGAGAAAAACATACTAGGCTTACCCCAAAAGGCCCAAACACGGAAACACCAGACTTTTAATTTAGTACTTTTAAATTCTTGCATTCTATTTGGGTTTTGCTCTGTGGGGTCGCTACATTTGTTGTATTATGATTCTCTGTTGTGATCTTTTCGAACTTATTTAAAAGTTTGTTGAAAAAGGATTGATTAACTTATATTTTAGTTGTTCTATGATTTTTGTTTTAATTTTTGTGATTTGCATTGAACAATAGCTTGTGATAGTTTTTTTCTAAGAACAACTTAATTGTGTTGGAATGCAACATCGCTCTTGATCTGTGTTCTTCTTTTATTTGAATTAGCTAATTGTTTGTACTAGACTAATTTGGGGAAACAATATATAATAAAACATATCAATTGTTAATTGATATACTTCCAAGCATCAAACTTTACTAGACTTCAGGACGCGAGAAAATGTTAATCTTAATACTACTCCCTCCTTCAAAAAATAAACACAATGTTTGACTAACCCAATAGTTAAATACACATTACACATTATCTTATAAGAATGTTACTTTCAGATTTAAAAAGAAAAACTAAAAAATCCCTTGATAAACAACACGAGAAATCTTGAGGACCAAAATCAATCGTGCTATGGTTTGTAATGATCGATAATAGGTAAATATATATATGCCTGGATTTGAATCTTTCCTTGAACAGAAATATTGCATTCAATTTGAGAAACCTATAATTGCATTTATTTTGGGAGCAGAGGAAGTAGAACTTTGGCTTATCTACTCTCTCTTAAACTTTATTGCATGCTAGAACAAAATCAGAGATCCAGGTGTGACCTAATTGGAAAAAAGCTATATGTTTGGCAAATCAAGAGGAAAAAATAACCAGATTGGCATTTCTGGAACAAAAAAAAAAAGCATCTAAACTGTAAAAGCCTTTCCCCAAAGTAGTACAAACAGTTAACTAATTCAAATCAAAAGAAGCACATAGATCAAACTGCATTCTAGCGCAATTAACCTTTTCTATCACAATCCATTGCTGCATTAACCAAATCACAAAAATCAAAAGCGAAAAGCATTGAGCAACCAAAATCTCAACTAATCAATCCTTTCCCAACAAAAATCTTAAACAAGTTCGAGAAGATTACAACGAGAGAAGCAAAACACAACAAATGCAGCGATCTCAAAAAGAGCATTAACTCAAATCACAAAAATTAAGTAACAAAAAGCATAGAACAACCAAAATCCCAATTAATAAATCCTTTTCCAACAAAAATCTCAAACAAGTTCGAGAAGATTACAACGAGAGAAACAAAACACAACAAATGCAGCGATCTCAAATAACAAATCAACAAAGTGCAAACCAACAAGAAATCAGAAATTGAGCGAGTACGATTGACTACCAGATAACAACAGAAAGTACCCGATCGATTTAAACGCAGATCTAAGCTCCAGTATAACTTCTTTCTCCCAACTTTTGCATTCAGAAAATATCGTTTTCAGAGAGAAAGAGAAGGGAAATTGAAGCTCAGTGGGAGTGTGAAAGGATTTGAAGTAGGACCTGTTTTTCAATTGTATGTTGAAATTCATATATTATATAATATTAGAGAAGAAAGTGACCGGAGTTGACGGTCTCCGACGACGGCGGTCGGTGCCGGTGGAGATATGGTGGACAGGCTGGACTTCAGATTCAACTTTATATAAAATCTTTTGACGACGTTTTTATCGCGCCGTTATAACCATTTTATCCAAACGACCCGTTACTTTCCGTTAACTACAATGAGATATATTTTATCATTTTCAATAGATTTTTTTTATAATTATATATCTATATTATATTATAAATTATTTGACAAAAATTCTTAAAAATTATTTTTATGTATAAAGTACTGTTTATTAATGTATATTGTTTAAAACATAAGATTACAAGTAAATTGTGCATAAGTACAATCTATTAAAACTCCATATCTAAATTCGTATAATTAACTACAGATAAACAAAATCAAATATATGATAAACATCTCATTTTAAATATAAAAAAACTAAAATATAATTAGAATAATTATTGAGTTCTAACAGAATACTTAATTATTATCTATACTATATCATAAAGCATTTGACAAAAACTCTTAAAAATCATTTTTTATGTGTAAAGTAATGTTTATTAATGCATATTACTTTAAACTCAATATTGCAAGTTGATTGTGTATAGATACAACTTATTAAAGCTCCATATCTGAATTAATGTAACTAACTGCAGATAAACATAATCAAATATAAGATAAACATTTTATTTTAAATATAAAAAAATCTAAAATATAATTAGGATAATCATTGAGTTATAACAGAATACTTAATTATTATCTTTATAAAATGTTATATTATTAAACCAAAAATAAATTATTTTCTTATTAAACTTAAATTAAATTATAATAAAAAATATATAAATTAAAAAGCTTACATAAAAAAGAGAACTTTTAAATAGTCGATTTGATATTAACATTGATATATTTTTTTTTAAATTTATATTTTATTCAAAAATAAAATCATTATTATTTTTTTAAAAACACATAAAATCGTATTACAACATCAATAAAGACAAAAAAATAGAATAAAACATTAAAATTGAGATGTATCTCCCTACATTACGTGAGTACCATTCTAGTACTATATTATAAAACATTTAACAAAAACTCTTAAAAACTATTTTTTATGCATAAAGTACTGTGTATTAATACATATTACTTAATATTTTAATTACAAGTAAATTGTGCGTAAGTACAACTTATTAAAGCTCAATTTTTGAATTCGTATAACTAACTACAGATAAACATAATCAAATATAGAATAAATATTTTATTTTAAATATAAAAAATCTAAAATATAATGAGAATAATTATTGAGTTCTAACATAATCATTATCTTTATAAAAAATTTATTGTTAAACCAAAAATAAATTATTTAATTATTTGATCTAAATTAAATGATAAATAGATTTTTATTTTTGGAAAAAATGAAATTAAAAAAATTGCAATTAATGATTTATGCATTGTGAATGCTTTAATATTTTTTACAATTATAAATAAAAATAAAAAGTATTTTTTTTATAACGACATTAATTATATTATGGGTGTGGGGCATATGAACATGAATGCGCAAAGTAGTACCCATAAACCACATTAATTTTGCATGTATTTTATGGGTTGGGTTGGCTTACGTAAGATATGTCTGTTTTTGTGAAAACATAAAATAACATTGAATTTTCATAGTAAAATATTGTGAAAATATACAAGATACCAAAATCTCCACAGTAAAAGCACTGTGAACAACCAAAAGGGTCTTTGTCTTAGCGGTATATGAGCCTCTTGCCTCTTAGGAGGTCAGGAATTCAAACCTCACAGATGGTGAGTACGATGTATGAGTTTATTTGTCATATTTACCGTATATAAAATATATTATATAAAATACCATGTGAACGTTTGCCTTCACAGTGTTTTGTTGTAAGTAGGGACGAACCCAATTTTTTTTCAAACAGTGGTACCATTTGAGTATAAGAAAAAAAAAAGATAGGAATTTTTTTTCAAACGGTGTCACCGTTTGATTATAAGAAACAAATATACGGATTTTTTTTTTCAAACCGTGAGCCATTTGACTAAAAAAATGATACTAACATGATTCAAACCTGGGTCTGGGGTGGAATAAAAGCCTTGCAAACCAACTCTACCAAATAAAACTTGTTCTCATTATAGTTTCAAAATATATACGGTGACACACAACAAATTAATATGGTTGCATCTTTCACGAACCTAAATTTTTATACCCTTCGACGGAGGAATAATACGGTAGCACGTGCCACCATAACCACTATACTAGGTCCGTCCCTGGTTGTAAGGGTTAAGTGTTATTTTTACAGTTTTATGGGTCTCATAAAAACAAATTAGTCTCATATGAGCATAAAAACATATTAATCTCACGTATTTAAATAATCTATGCTATCTTATAAAGCATTTGGCTAAAACTCTTAAAAACTTTTCAAAACTCTTAAACTCGTTCATCCTTATCCAATTTCATCCCATATCTGAATTTGTGTAACTAACTGCAGATAAACACAATCAAATACAAGATAAACATCTCATTTTAAATATAAAAAATCTAAAAT